AACGACAAGAGAAGATAGGAAAACAAGATTATCTTTAGGAAGAAAATTTGGGACATGAAGCAGGGGTGCTGGGTGAGAAGGGGGGAAGACGATTTCCCAGGCAGTCATCCTCATACTGTCTGATTTTCCTTTGCTGTCATTTCATTTTGTTACCCTACCAGAAATTTATATAAAGCAAGGTGCCTGGCATGTTATTTGTCCTCCATTTTATTAGTTAATAAGCATCAGTTTTAAAAGTGTAATTTACTTTAGCTGATTATAAGAAAACCATAAATCCCATATACTTGAGTTGCAATAGATTAAGAGGAAAGGGAAAGAATGCTGAGCTCTCCTTCATCATCACCAGAGTTCTTCAAGGTAATACGAGAGTCTCAAGGAGATCCCCAAAGATCAGAGTTTAACTTTGCAGTACTGGCAATGAGCGAAACTAGATTCCAGGTTATGTCTATTGCACACAAGACCTTTGTTCCCTTCTATGACTGCATTGCTTCCAGCATGAAGGTGATACCAGTTACACTGAAAAAATAAATGGTATGACTGGGAGAAAGCTTGCATGTGATTTTAAAATATAGTTATTTTTTGGTAGTTAATACCTAAACCACTCTGCCTCAGGTACAAGATATGTTATGGTCGATTGAGGCAATATATAGTCTTTACATGCCAAAGGTCGGAGGAGGGGGTTGTCAGAAAAGGTTCAGGTGTAAATAAGGACAAATTAACTGAAGAATACTGAACCCGAATATGGGGGAAAGAAGTTTTTCATTTTTATGTTATACAGCATGAAGCCCTTACTCCAGAGTCTAGAACTGAATTGATATTTGTGCGCTCTTTGGGGAATTTAACTACCACCCATAATGTTATTTCTAGGAAATGATCATCTCCTAATTTCAAATGACTCTAACTTGACTAACTTGGTAACAGATGTTCAGCATGCATTCCCTTTTTCTAAGTGAAGAATTGCCTGGAGTTTCTCAAAACACCATTATACGTACATAAATCTGTAGGTAGTATTTGTGTAAGTCTAAAACAGAGCCTACATGGCTACATGGTGCCTTGCTTAAAAGAAATCTGTTCCATTTGGAAAAGGGAGAGAATAATTATTGTCGTTCATAACAAATTTTCCTTTTGTGTAGGTTTTGGAAATATGTTGATAACTCGTGGATAGTAATCAGGAAAACTCCATAAATGTTGAAGTGAAAGATACTAATTTAATTGAATGTACTGTACTCTTTTACTTCTGCATTTGACTCATGGATTAAAATTTTATTTATTTGGTTTCCGTTGCTTGTTTTTAAGTCCTTGAGTTGTCTATTTTTCAGAGCCTTAGATCCCTTAACTGACTGAATTTTCTCTGCAAATAGATAAAATTCCTGCTAGACAACACTGTAGGACTTAGAGGTCTGTTTATATGCTTATTTAAATCTCTGGCATGAGTAGGTATATAAAGCATTCTTTGGTTTGTAAATACTAGTTTCTTTATGGAATGTAACTGTGCCTCTTACCACTAGAATGAATTGATACCATCTATCTTCCTCTTCATCTTTAGATGTATTATTTACCCAGCTTTTAACTTTTCCAGTGTAAAGTAGTAATATCTCACTACAATAAGAAAATTAATAAACAAAGTATAAAGGGACTACTTTTGAAAAAATGTTTTAGAAACTCAGTCCTTTTGATTAGTAACCAGCCTTAGTACCAGAAAAACTTCAAAGTGTTCTCTAAACATTGAATTTTCATCAGTGATGCTGCAAGCCTTAGTTCTCATCTTTCATGCTTACCATTGCAATAACTTCAAAAGGATAAAAAGAAAGAATGGTAATCTCTCAAAGCAACCTTGTGCTCAGGCCAGTAATCACATATTTAGCTATCATGCATTCACAACTAGATAATTGCCTCATTAAACTGTTTTAATAAATATAGTAATTAACTTTTTTTTTTACAGAAAAGCAAACACTCAAATCATTCAGAAATGAAATCCAGAGCCCAAGGGATTTCTAGAAGAAAATGAAAAAGAATTAGATAGCGTCAAATATAGACATCTTCAAAGGGAAAGAGATCATTTAAACTTGCTTTTTACTTACTGAAATACGCTCTGCATATTTTATTGTTTTCATTATCTTGGTTATTATAATCCAGCCAGTGAATGTTCAAAGAACATAAAATCCTACAAATAAATAAACTGAATGTAAGTGAATTTACAAAAAGAAAACAAGATCAAAAGTTTGACATGCAAGCTTTGATTCTGTAAAGCAATTATATTTCCAACGGTGTTCCAGTATTATGATTTATCAGAAGAAGAAAACTTTAAAAGGTTTAAGCTTTACAACATTTTATTTTCATGCTGAATTTTCAGAGTATAAGTAACTTGCAAACCTTATCTGAATCTGCATAGTATTGTCAAAGTGTTCCAGTATTATATGATTTATCAGGAGATAAAAATTTAAAAGTTTTAAGCTTCATGACATTTTATTTTCATGTTGAATTTTCAGAGTATAAGTAACTTGGAAACTTTATCTAACTCTGCATAGTATTGTCAAAGTTTTGGGTGATAAACCCTTTCCAGAATTAGACAGTAGGCATTCTGGGTCAGTGTAGGAAGTTATAATGGATACCAATATTTGAACAAAAATTAGATTTATTATCACAGATAATGTGGTCAGCAAATAGGTGGTTGAGGGAGTACTAAAAACTATACCAGAGAGAACTTAAAGAGTGAGTGGTGAGTTGGAGGAGTGGTGGGTTGTGAAGTGGTAGCCTGGAACTAGAGGAAACCAAAAATAAGACTTCATATGTGAATTTAGATTTGTATTTAAATCAGGAAATACCCTTATACCAGCAGCTTTCTAAAGCTTTCACCTGAATAAAATAGAAACAGCATTTAAAAAATAACAACACAATTCTTTCTATAAAATTATATATAGAACAAAGTAATTTACCTAGGTAATAATACATGTAAGAAATAGTTTTAAAAGCTATATTGGCTGGCAAGAAAAGGCAAGTATTTTACAATACGATGGTAAAAAGAAATAAAGAGAAATGAATGGGAGTCATTAACTATTCTCAGTGAACATATTTCTCCCTTAAATGCTGTAGTTTAAAAGTTATCCTTTTAGATGATTAGGGTATTATCTAGATCAGTGCTTCTTAAATTTATAGTGCGTAGAGGAAGCACCTGGGCATCTTTTTCAAGGGCAAGTCCTGATGCATCTGGCAAGGGATCTGAGATTCTTTGCTTTGAGCAAGCTTCTAGGTGGTGCAGATGCTTACACTTTGTACCACGCTTTGAGTATGACCTAGATCAACCTTTATGGAACCTACATCTCATCAATCTCTCAAAGCATACGGACTAAGAAATACGTGCTTTTTCAAGAAGAACATATGTTTAGAGGGTTCTGAAACAATAAGAAAAACTGGTAAGGTTTAAAATACAGAGAATTGTAGTTCCAATTTCGGCAGTACATTTTAACCATCAGCTTGTTATGTAAAATAGATGAGTAGGGCAGATTAAAAATGATTGGTTTCTAAATATCAATGTTAAGTGAGGGGCTTAATCAGAAAGGCCTAATGAAGATCTTGGGGAAAGGGTGTGTGTGTGTGGATGGGTTGGTGTTGAAGTCAGAATGATCAAAGATGGGAAAACAAGCAAAGGAAGGGTGACAAGTTAAAAGCACTGTCCAGTGGATAGAGGAGAATACAGAAGAGATGACATTAGGCAACAGGCAAGATGGACTGAACTGGTTAGATTTGCAGATGAAAATGGGAGTTGAGAGTGACAACTTAGTCAGTTTAAAAACCTAGCACTATATAGATGTTAGTTCCACCTTCTACCAATAATAGGAGACAGGTAAGTTAAAACAATTCCTCCGAAATCCTGGAGAAATAATCATAATATACATACATGTATATGTATGTGTATATGTATATGTATATATGCATATGTATATGTATATATGCATATGTATATCTACGTCTGTATTAAATTCTGAGTTTCCATCAGTGAAGTCATCGGGAATAATTTTTAGTTCATATATTTTCCAAATATCATTAGAAGAGACTCAGTAAGTAGGGCATTAATGTAAATAATCAGATTTAGCATTCTGAAACTCCAGAAAACAATAAAACATGAGAAAGACTTTAAGCTTTATAAAAATTTCTTGCTTACCTAAAGTGCATAACTTGAATCTAAACATGACACAAACTGAAATTAGACCACAGTTTACAAAATAATTGGCTTATGCACTTAAAAAAATGCCAATGTCGGCTGGGCAAGGTGGCACACACCTGTAATCCCAGCACTTTGGGAGGCCAAGGCGGGCGGATCACGAGGTCAGAAGATCAAGACCATCCTGGCTAACACGGTGAAACCCCATCCGTACTAAAAATACAAAAAAAATTAACTGGGTGTGGTGGCACATGCCTGTAATCCCAGCTACTCGGGAGGCTGAGGCAGGAGAATCACTTGAACCTGGGAAGCGGAGGTTGCAGTGAGCCAAGATTGCGCCATTGCACTCCAGCCTGGGCGACAGAGCAAGACTCTATCTCCAAAAATAAAACAGAAACAAAAATGCCAGTGTCATGAGACTCAGGAAAATGCACATGAGTGTGCACATGTTCATGCACACACACCCCCCCCTTAAGAACTGTTCCAGGTGAAAGGAAGCTAATGAGATGTGACAAAATGGACATACTTCATGATCTTGAATTTTCTATTGTTAGAAAGGACATCATTATGGGAAATCGGTGCAACCCGAATAAAGTCTGTAGATTAGATAATAGCACTGAATCAGTGTTTAGTGCCTGATTTTGACAATAGTATTGTGATGTGTAAAAAAATTCCTTGTTTTTAGCAAATGCACATTAATATAATTAGGGGAAAAGGCATAATGTCTGCAACCTACTCTCAACTCTTATGCTGTTTTAATCACTTATGTGTGTGCCTGTGTATACATGTATTTTTCATGTATTTATAAAAAATACACGTCAAAAATACATGTCATTTATATATCAAAAAATAAAAACTCCATAAGTCTTTATGGCTGCATTGAAGGCAGTAGGAAATTAGATAAATATTAGAGGGAAAACTAAGAACAGGATATAGGTCAAGTATTTTGACACAGTTATTAGTTGACTTCTTTTCTTCTATCATCAATCTCCATACACCAAAGAAGAAAAGGTTTTCAATATAATTGTAAGTTGGAAAGTAACAACAGGAACATAATATCTTAGAAATAATGACAACTGGTACCTATTAACTCATCAAATCATTTCATGTATCTATGTTCATATTGAGAAGACAACATCCTTAATATCATCTAGCTCACTATCATTTAATGAACCAGTCTGATACTTCACCCAGGATAAATCATGTGATATTTATGTTTGCATATTTTTTAGTTAAAGTGAAAATAAGCCAAAAATCTAAATTGAACATAAAAGCAAGGGGAAACTCAGTTTTTAGGGAAATGATGAAGAGGATGGGATAGCGTATCAGTTTTTGAGAAAGGGGATATGAGATCACTGGAGAGGGGCTGCCTAACAGAAATGCAGGGTTCTAAATTCAAATTTTGAAGAACATTGGTCCTAAGCTATCCTTCTATGAATAAAATATACTCTTTGGGGGTAAAAACTGTGTAAATGGAATAGGCTATATTGTAATTAACAAGCAAGAAGGAGAATAACAAATCACTCATGCTCTCGAAGCCTATACTTACAAAGAGAAAACAGGCACCGATCATGGCTGCTTTGACTGTTACATCTAGATCTGCAGGAACATGAATTCCAAAATTGTCAGCATTTGTGAAGACATCATTTACAAATCCTGACCAGTACTTTGAAATCTTCCCAATTGTAAGCTTTTCATTAATGGTTTTCACCTTTAGAAAGAAAATAAGGAGTATTAAATTTGAAAGTGAAAAAAAGTTGGTTTTGGCCGGGCGCGGTGGGGTTTTGTACTTCCGAGGGTGTTTACTTCATGAGAGATTTGAATTATTTTATTTGTCATCTCCAAATGACACTTCCATGTTAGTCATTCCATCATATAAGCATAGGTTTGTAAATTTAGCTTTTCAGTTTACTTTTTAGAAACTTTGCTTTTCTGACAGTTTTCTAGTCCATCATAATTCTTTTTCTTTTTTTGTATGCAGGATAAATAATTAAGGCTCAGCCACCACAAGATGGCAGCAGGTACATAGTTCAATTGTATTATCTAAGCATGAAGGCAATTTCTTTACCTGAGGTCCAGATTTTAAACCTGAATTCTGTATCTTAAAAATATAAAAGAAGATATATTTGAAAAATATTTCAGAAGGAATTAAATTAATTTCTAGGCATAATTTGTAAACTTTCAAATTTCAGTTGCTAAAATTTTATAATTATTAAAACATTTAAATATTATTGGCCATTGGTAAATCACATTTTATATTATACTCAGACATTTATTAGGTCAATCCTTTGTAACAAATCCTAAATCCAATTTTACATTTAAAAAGTCCTCCTGGCTAATGTGCCACATAGGAAGTTAAGACCAACTGGACATCAAAGTCTACCAGTCCTTCTCAGCTAGAAGGAGTTCACAAATCAACTTTATCAGTTATTCGTTTGTTTACTCTGCTTGCCATCCTGATGCTGAAAATAATTCAAGAGAAACTATCACTTTTTTCAGGGTAGTGAAAGATAGAGAATAGAGAGAGTTACTTAGGACATTTCTATAGCATGAATGCTAAAACTCATGTTTAATATCTTTCTCAATCATATTACTCTTAGGAAAGTCATGCCAAATCCTTTGGGAACAGGGTGAAGTTAGAACAGCTCAGTTTGCAAAATTTGCATGGTATTTTATGTGCATAGTGTTTCCTGAAATCCTGAGAACTGAATGCCCTTGCTGAGATATTTATGTATGAATGCATGAAAAATAAATATACACTTTCAATTAAGCTGTCTCCTCTACCTAAGATGTATGTCCAGGACAACCTGTTAAGATAGTTTATATGGCTGCAGATCAAATTTGCAACTTTCTATTTTTTAAATATTCAATTCATACACATGTAAGAATAAGGGTTTTTTCTTTTGTTTTGTTTGGTTGGTTGGTTTTTTTTTTACAAAACTAACTTAGCAGGTCTTGGAAACACAACTTTTGAGTTACTGCTGTTTTAATGCAACATGCTGCTGAAATGAGACCTAAACTGGGATATGTGATCACAAGGGCCATAGGAAAGAAGATACATAATTTAGGTGATTCTAAACTATATTTATTGGCTTTATGCCATGTGTCCTGTGATTCTACATAAATAAAATATACTGAAAAGAGAATGAAGTGCTAATTTTCAAAATCACAAAATATTGGTTATCTTAAAAAAGCAAAGCTATATGTCCAAAAATTTTTGAGGTTCAAAGTCTTGGACACATTAAAATAGCAACACATTTACTATTCTAATCAAAGAGATACAGTAGCTTTTTTCATAAAACACATAGAATTATATTTAGCTAAATATGCTTTTGTTATATTAAATTTATTAAAATTATTTTGAATAATACTTACACTGGTCTATGACATATGATACGATGGCCAAGGTGATAAATTTTGTAATATTATTTTTTAAAAATCCTTGGACTTTATATCTCTGGATTTACATATTCCTATTCTTAGCATGTACAATATGGGCTGATTACATTATATAACAAATATGTTATTTTTCTGAACTTATCTGAGATGAAATTAATTTGAACATATAAAAAATTGAATTATATTGCAAAAAAAAAAAAATCAGGACCTAAATGAAAACTTCTTTCATTTTGTCAATTGTACCTCAAAATTCACATCGCCAAAACAGCCACATGTCGCACAAGGACCAACAATTTTCAAAATGTCTTCTTTGTTTGCATTTTGGATTGTGAATTTAGGCAGAAAGGGGTCCCACTTCTGTGCAACGTAACCAACTATAGTACCAGGAGGGGCTTGGATTTCTAACTGCAAGAAGAGATAATGACAAAATAAGATTTTCTTAGGTTATCATATTTTAATTTTACTATAATGTCAATTTACCTGTAAACAATATACTGTTATAAAATTATTTTGATATCCTATAAATCATTCTAAATATCTGCTTTTAAGGATACAGATTTTATAAAATATTTTACAGAGAACAAAGAAATTCACTGTATAAACATATGTTTAGCACAGTGCACTAAAAGTCTTTGTCTTATTTCCCTAAAGAGAATCTACCCAACGACTATCTTCAGACCCTGGGACAGTGGCTTCTTTGTCATTTTATCCCAAGTACAATAGTTGTTCAACCACTGAAGCTGTTCCTATGCGGTAACTCACATCTACTCCTTCTAATTGTAGCCACAACACTCATCTCTTTTATCAATTATTGAGTATTCATACTTTTTTCAGTCAGATTATAAACTCCCAGATTATCTGCATTTAATTGAAAACAAATGCTTCTTGCAGAGTTGTAGTCATTAAACACCAGTTTGATTGCTGGTTCGTGGCTTCCACGGTGCTGGAGACTAGTAGTTGGATTTTTGCATTATCAGGCATTACTTTAGTATTTGACTCCATTACCGTTACGTATTTATGTAATCAAATCAAATATTTTGTAAAATAAATTGGGGGCGGATACAAATTTTTAAAATGTTTGCATTTAAACCAAGCCATCTCTCCATCATCTGATCTCATTTTGACTTTTCTTATTAAGTTCATATTCTTATGCATATGTCTGTAACATTCTTGGATAGATAAAAGTGATTTCAACTAGACTGCTCAGAATTAATATAGATTTGTTCTGGGGTCACTTTTAAAGTTATTAATTTGTTATTGACCAAATTTTTTAAAAAGTTACTAATAGGTATCAAGATATATATTATGTTTAATTTATGACCCTGGACTACCATTAAAGAAAACATTAATTATCAAAAATTTTTAAATGAGCATAATTCTGTGATCATAATGACGACACTCTCTTGGGGCATTTTAATATTAAATATCCTCAGTAGACGGATGGAAATTCTTGGGCTCCATGCATGAGCTCTTCAGTCATCTTATCACTTAGTCAGATGCTTGCCTAAAGATAGTTGGAGAATTAGCTTTGATATATGTTATTAGAAATTTCCCTAAATAACCATCTTTCATATTAATATTTTCCCATCATCCTAAGGCCAGTACTTATTCACAGGTTCTAACAGAGAAGATTGGGCCTAAGTTGGGACACCTGGATCAAGTCCCATCTATGATATTTCCTGATTTCTTGAATGTATAGTCATAGGTTAGCGGCCTCCACTCTCCTTCCTTGACTGCAAAATGTAGAGAGTAATTATTTCTAGCTCCTAGAGATTTCATGACTCTATTCTTGCTCATGAGTAGAATATCCTGGTATCAAAGCCAGCAAAGTAAGTAAAGTTCTGTGTCAATTGAACTGCGTATGTCAATGAAAGTTATTATTATAGGTCTACTAAATAATAATGTAAATCTATTATATATTAAAATAAAATAATTGAATTATTTCCTGTAGAACAATAACATTGTCTTGCCAAACCTTGGGTTTTGTCATAAACGGGTAAATGCATTGTGAGATTCCATAATAAATAATAATAGCTATCCAAGAGGACACCTTAGAGGAGTTTAGTATCACTTAGCACTTTCTGGACTTTGCTCCAGTTGGAGAAGACAAAGGGCATATATGCCCAATGGTGGAACCTGTAGACATTACAATTACATGACTACTATAGAGATTCCAGAGGTCTATCTCATTTACATGATGCATGAGCTGTCCTCAACAGTTTACATCACGAAAGCCACCATAGTTTTTGGTTGGAAAGGAAAAAAATTTTAGTGAATCACCAAATCCTCAAGCTGATCTCATCCTAAAGGAACAACATACTATTAATAATTGAAACAACTGACAGGTTAATTGCCTCATTGCTCCAAATGAATTCCTTTTAAAGAAACAAATGCTAATTTTAAAAATCAAAAAAGGCAACCATAGCCAGTAACTAACCTCTTGGAGGTAGCAAGGACACCAGCAGCTGTTACATCTCAAGGGCCTATTCACTGTAATGACCTCTCGACCTGAGTTATCTGTGATCCTCAGGGTGCAAGATCGCAGAGTGGAACAGAAAGTACGATTGAAGCAGATGCTTTCCTCCACTGCAAAGTAAATTCTTTGTCCCAAGCTGTTTTTAATCTCATATTTGTTGGAGGTCTCAGTACCAAGTATCACTGATGGAGCAAAATAAACCATTTTTTATAAAAACATTTTTTTTCCTTAGTATTGATAACTGTAAATCAAGAGGAGATATCATTAAAAGAATACAGTGTCTGATCATTTATTAAGTATATGGTATCTTCTTCACACAAATTTATTTCTGTGCTCTAAATCTGTAAGACTTAGCCATGGAAATAAAAGTAAATGGTGAGAATAAAGCTATATAATTAATTAATATTTATTCCAGATATATGACCTACTTGAGAACATATAGTGTACCTTTTCACTAAAGGACAAATGCTTTAAAGATTAATTTATAACTCAAAAAATAATTATATTATTGTTATAGAACTATTGGCACCATATGGTGATAATAGTGATTTTGTCTAAAATATTTGCTGGTAATATCTCTAAAGTTGTATGCTATCTGGCTATTTCAATTTTCACATATATTTAGGAATAATATAGAGCACTAAAACCAGAAAATACTCAAGTAATTTGAATCCAGTTAGTCATGCTTGTAAATTTGTAGATTCTTAAATAATTTTCCTATTTGGTAAATCACTGATACAATGATAAAACAGTAACATTTTGTTTTGATAACTTTTTGTTATTTAGTTAAAACCGCGGTTTCCATTTTTGAAATTATTAAGAAATTTAAATGATTAACATCCATGGAAATAATCAAATACATTTTACTATTTTAAAGTAGATGTAATGTCAGAATTTGAATGGCAATATCACCAAAGATTCAGAGTTTTATGCTTCTATTTTATCTAAATAAGACTAATAATTTTACTTTTAGCTTTTAATTAAAAAGAGACCTAGTACTCTTTTTGATCTAATTCTGTTTTACACATTTAACTTTCTCGTTTATAATATCTTTAGATGTAAAGAAACTTGTGAAAACTAAAATATTTTCAATAGTTTTAATAAATGCATAATATATATAATGCACTTACTTCCAAGCAGCTCCACCTGCTGGTGTATAATTATCAGGTCTAACTGTAAAGGATGACATAAAGGAAATAAAAAGTATTACATCACATCGAAAACCTTTGGAGATACTACTATTACCCTATTTACTACGTTGCATAAAATTAGGTGATTTTCATGCTTTCTATTAGGAAAACGGTTGAAAATATCTCACATTTTATAATGCAAAAGAATGTAACTTTTTATTATTATTATTATTTAAGTAAAAATTTAGAAGAACCCTGAAAATTCCAAGGCAGCATTGAGCAAGAATAAGAATAGGAACGGAGCTGGGCGCAGTTCCTATATTTACTCCAGAAGTAAATCCAGTACTTCTGGAGGTCAAGGTAGGCAGATTGCTTGAGCCCAGGAGTTCGAGACCATCCTGCGCAAAATGGCAAACCCCTGTCTTTACAAAAAATACAAAAATTAGCTGACTGTGGTGGTATGTGCCTCTAGTCCCAGCTACACTGGAGAGAGGCGGAGATGGGAAGATTGTTTGATCCTGGGAGGTTGCAGTTGCGGTTGCGGGGAACCATGAGCCCAGTACACTCCAGCCTGGTCCCCAGAGGGAAACTCTGTCTCAATTAAAAAAAAAAAAAAAAAAAAAAAAAGGAGGCGGAGACAGAACTACATGTTAACTCTGTGATAATGAGAAAATTAGAGTTGATCTTGAAAACAAGAGTTTGTGAAGATTTTTAAACAATCTCTGAATTATAATGTTTAAGATGTTTTACAATTCAATTTTTTTTTAAATATAGGAAACAACACAATAATGATTTGAATGCCTGGCCTCTCCTCTTAACCTCTGCCTACCTCTACTATCACTCTGTCAAACTACAACTCATTTCTTTCAGTGATGGAATATACTTGTTAAACCTGAAAAGTTATTGTATATATTTTTCTCTCATTCACACTTTCCTATGGACTAAAAATAAAAATGAGTTCCTGCGGATGCCAACAAAATACCAATCTAAGTCAAACAAATGTTATGGCACTAAATACATTACAAAATTTGACTTATGTAATTAAAAATAAAGTTAATTTGCCGGGCGCGGTGGCTCAAGCCTGTAATCCCAGCACTGTGGGAGGCCGAGACGGGCGGATCACGAGGTCAGGAGATCGAGACCATCCTGGCTAACACGGTGAAACCCCGTCTCTACTAAAAAAAAAAAAAAAAAACTAGCCGGGCGAGGTGGCGGGCGCCTGTAGTCCCAGCTACTCGGGAGGCTGAGGCAGGAGAATGGCGGCAACCCGGGAGGCGGAGCTTGCAGTGAGCTGAGATCCGGCCACTGCACTCCAGCCTGGGCGACAGAGCGAGACTCCGTCCCAAAAAAATAAAAATAAAGTTAATTTACAGAGATAAAGTATCCACAGATAATTGAGAAATGACTATTAAATTAAAAAGTCTGCAATGCAAATTGTTTTTTAAAGGAAATATGAAAGTTCTGTTCTTATAAAGAAATTTATTTGTGCTTATTTTATTTTTATTTTTACTTTTTGAACAGAGTTCAGCTTTGTGGCCCAGGCTGGAGTGCAGTGGCACGATCTTGGCTTACTGCAACCTCCACCTCCTAGGTTCAAGCAATTCTCGTGCCTCAGCCACCTGAGCAGTTGGGATTACAGGTGCTCACCACCATGCTTGGGTAATTTTCGTACTTTTAGTAGAGACACAGGGTTTCGCCATGTTGGCCAGACTGGTCTCAAACTCCTGACCTCAAGTGATCCACCCACCTCAGCCTCTCAAAGTGCTGGCATTACAGGTATGAGTCACTGTGTCTGGTCTATTTGTGTTTATTTTCAATCTGATATTCAGTACTTGAAGATCCAGTAATGCAAAAGCATGAACACTGAATATGCTGCTGATCATTGTATTTTCTAATGCTTCATTTTTCATTCCACCTTAAAATTTTCTTCCCCATATTCTCCCTTCGCGTTAATAAACTCACCAGTAACTTTTAAACTAACCAGTCATTACTAAAATTTGGTATTGAGTGGACATTACAATCTCAGAACATTTGAAGCTACGTGATTTCCCTCATTGTCCTTGTATGTCCTAAGGTGGAGGTAAAACTAATATCATTTTCTCTATTTAAATCTTCTTATTGATAAAATAATATGTGTGGCCACTTTTTTAAGGTTCACAAAAAATATTTTTCCAAAAATAATTTATGATCGAATATATTCTAAAACCTAAATTAACAATAATGACAAAGCTTTTTATTAGAAAAAAAATACTTGACCAAGTCTTTAGTAATGTACTGCATTAGTTCTGTTATCTTCTGAGGAAAATGGAGTGGTAAGCCTCAACAAGGATGTACATTATTATTTAGCAGTTGATCTATGCACAAGTAACTTAGAAATGGAGATCTGTGTGGTCAAAAATAAAGTGGGAGTTTAGGTACTCTGAATACTGATGTCGTGAATCAAGTTTTAGTGTTGAAATTTAGAAACTATTAATTGAAATCCACCTGACAATGAAAAAGAAGTAGTACCTCTCTAATATCCAACAACAGCAGCTTTTTAAATTGAAGAACTACCATAAGGTAGTCACTGTGCTAGATGTTTAGACAGTGTCTGATTTAAACCTCACAAAAACTTGGAGAGATAAATATCATTAATTTTAAATGTGAGGAAACAAGCCCACAGAGATTAAGTAATTTGCCCACGATCACAGAACTTGTAAATGGCCATCAATTCTGCCATGCATTCTACTCTGGTTCTTTACTGACATCACTACGCTAAATTTAAGGGAAATAAATCTCAAGTGACAATATGAAACTTGAATACCTTTCATATTTTCTTACTTTTATACCCTCCCCACCCTCTGTAATAACATTTGATTTGCTCTCTCTGTGAAAAAATCTCCTGGATTTGAGGGAGTTGTTTTTGGTCGTTCTTGTAGTTTTCTTTAAATAGCACATAGCCACTTATAAACCATGGCCCAAAGGGGCATTTTTCATTCTTTTTCTATTGATTGATAGACTAGGAATTTTGAAAACTTTAAACAGATTGAATTATACATTTAGGTGTCATGGCAAGTAAAACTTAACTCTTCAAGTATGAAAGCTGTAGAAATGAAAATACAATGAGAGGGTTAGATGTATGGCTTAAGAATTAATTTTCTTAAAAAATCATGTTGACAGGTATCAATTATTCCATTTGATATACGTATTTCAAAATAAATTGGATATTTATATGTTTTGTAGACTTTACCTCATTACTCTTACATACAGGTGACTAAATTATAATAATTATTCCTTGACACTTTGACACTATACAATAAAATGTTATTGACTGTATGAACATGTAAATCTAATCTGTAATGAATCTATCAATTTTATTCTTAGATTTAATATACATTATATAGCTAAACACTCATATACGTATATTTTCAAATTGTTTATGGAAACAAGATTCTCAATAGTAATTGGATGGACTTGATTAAAAGAGAATAATATTAAAATATTTTATTTAAATTTTTTAATTTAGAAAGATATTTATTGTATGTTTCCTGTGTATTCATTGATTAATGTACTATTTCCAAATGTTCATTATTTTATTTGATTTTTGTGACTTTCAGAGAAAACGTAGCATCTAAAAATTCATTTGGTATTGTGCCTCTTCCAGGCTCATGGCATAACACTTTTGAAATGCTCATTCATGGTTTTATATGTGCACTGCTTTAAAGTAAATAAAATAAATGTTCTTTTAGTATAAAGTGAGGAAATCATCTTTCTCTTTAGAAGTAGAATATTCGACAATTGGTGGCATATTTTTTTTTCTTGGAATGATTAACAAAGGTATATTTTTGGAAAATTTATTCTATTTTAGAACCAAAGCCAATGGGTTCATATCTCTACTTATTGAACGTAACAAAAATGTATTCATGTCAAGCATCTGGCTCCGGGTGTGTCATCATTCATGAATGGAAGAAGAATATGTGATGACCATATGTGATCATCAAACCTCAGCCCTCTGGCACTGGTATATCACTTTTATACTTGGCAAAACCTTGTCTGACAACATTCCCAAACAGCTTGCAGCAGTTAATCAACTCTAGTCAGCTATTACAGCTGATCCTTTCTGCAGATGGAAGATGGTAGGTTCACGTTTCCAGCTCTTTTACATATCTCCCTGAGCTCTCCAGTCTCTAAAGTACATTTGTCTGCCAGTGGGTTTCTGGAGAAGGCATCTGCAATTATAAACATTTAACCAGGAACATATGCTGCATGCAGCTTAAACCCTATCAGGCATAACAGAAATCTCTTGTACCTTAAGGGAATTAACACAGAGATTTGATTTTGATAAAGGAGATAGACTTTATAGTTTGAAAGAATGCCAAACAAGCTGAAAATTGCAGCAGATGTGCTGACATCTCAATATTAGTGTAATTGTACTTCTAATCTTTTTTTAGGATAAAATACAAAAGCAACAATAATATACATACACGAATAGCAATAGCTATTTATATGCCATAAAATTCAGATAGTGATATTTTGATTGATTTATTGTAAGGTTTGAATCCTGCCTACTCTACAATGACTGGAACAGTGACTATATCCAATAGCAATATGCTCTTTTAAGCAAATTGCCCTGGAGATGCAGTGGTGTCAGCAGACAATGTTCACTTTATAACTGCTTTCTCTTGGATTTGTGTCCTCCTCTTGAGATTCAGTTGAAGACATTGAGCTCTCAGCTCATTGCTGAAGTCTCTTTCAAGTACTTTGATCCTTAAGAACCTCTCTCTCCTCTATACACCTGAACAAATTACAATAGTGTGCTTATCAATCATTCGTATATAGGCATGCACTTTGCATTAACTTTTTTTTTTGTCTTGCCATTTAGGTTGCAGAACTTTTGGGTGACAGGGGCTAGGTTTCATGCTTTTTACGTGTCTCGAGTATAGCAAGCACTCGACAAATATTCTTTAATTAAATAGCTGTAGGTGACTAGATACATTAGAAAATTTCTTTTCTTTTCTTTTTTTTTTTTTTTTTTTTTTTTTTTGTTTTTTTTTCCAAGTCAGAGTCTCACTCTATCACCCAATCTGGTGTGATCACAGCTTACTGCAGCCTTGACTTTCCTGGGCTCAGGTGATCCTCCCACCTCAGCATCCTGAGTAGCTGGGACCACATGCAAATGTCACCATGCCCTGCTAATTTTTGTAGAGATGGGGTTTTTATCATGTTGCCCAGCCTGGTCTGGAACTCCTGGCTTATCCACCTGCCTTGGGCTCCCAAAATGCTGGGATTACAGGCATGAACCACCATGCCTGGCATATTAGACAATTTCTTGAGGAAAAATTTGCTGACACCTTGATCAATGAACAAGTGGCTAAACATGCTAAACAGCTCCATCAAAAATATTTAGCCTCATCATTCTGTCAAATAAATAAGGAAGATAAAAGTAGTAATACGACACACTTTAAAAAATAGTATAAATAAATAAAATTAATATTTTACAATTTTATGATTTATAATGCTTTTTTCACTTCAGTAAATTATTGGTTAAAGTCTTTCAACCTTGATTGAAAAGTCAGAAAGAAAGTTTGTATTAATTTTAAGGGCAGGACATATCTGTAGAAAGTTTGTATTAATTTTAAGGGCAGGACATATCTGTAGGAATAGAAAGATAAAAACACCTGGCTTAAATATTCTAGACCCGGAGGGAGACTGACTGTTGGCAGGAAACTTCTTGGCAAAGGGCGACTCAGCTGCCACGCTTGGTTCCCTGGATTGGAAGATGAGGCAGGAAGGTTTTGGTCTGGGTCTGGAGCTCCAGGAGGAAAACTAGGCAGACCTCTTCTTTGGTTCTGGGCATCTGCAAGAGAATGGAAATCCCAATCCATATTTAAATTTAGGCCATTTTATTTAGTCCTTCTTAAAATATTTGTTACTTCTTGATTGATAGGATAGTTTATCTCCTGCCTCTCATTTTAATGCCCTTTTCCTTATTTTCACTACTTACTGCCATTACCACTTGTCCCCTAAGTTAGAAAACAAGAAGTGCAGAAGAATTCCGGTAGTAGTTGTGAGAAAAAGTTGAATTTAGCCAAAATAAATGACTTTAGAAAAAATATGCGTATGTGTATATGTGTGTGTGTATACATAATTACTTGCATATATATACACTTACTGCATATATATTCATATGCATATGTAAATTATATATTATATAAATATACAAAGCAAAATGTGGAGAGTAATTGTTGGTTACTTTATACATATATAAATTATATATTATACAAACATATATAAGTATATACATATAAATTGATGTTACTTCAATATATATGCAGTAATATATGTCTATATATACTTATTTTTATATATTCATATTTATATAAGTCTATATACAACCAATAATAGTTTGAAGCTGTGCATCCTTTTGTAGCTCACCCAATATTACAAAATATAAAAGATATCAGAACCAAATAATTATATAAAGTTTGACTAAAATTTTTAGAGAAGATACCTGTTTTCTAAATTATTGCCAGGTAAATATGTTACAATTTAATCATCTTTTACTTTGAAATTTGGGGGTTTATTATTTACTTCGCATTGCTCTGTGTAATTTTATGTATAACCCCTAATAAGGTGGTATATGCAAAGGCCTTTTTGTTTAAAAATATAAATGATAGCTTTTCTATGATTTTTTTCTTCTCACATAACTACCATTTGAATATCTCTCTCATTAGTTATCATTTTTTTCAAAGAATATCAATATATTTATTTCTCATGTTTAGTAATCAATAAAGTGTTAGAGCTTTCACAAGTGCATTCAGTTAGTTTATCCACATTATGCTGTTTTAGATTGGGTATAGATGTGAAGCAAGGTTTGTGACAGGTATTTTCAAATATAAGAAGGGCCATTACGAAGACAAGCAATTCAGATTGTCCTAAAGACATATAAAAGAGAAGGGCAAGGAAATTGCTTCTGCATTGACAACAAGTAGGAAATTTATAACAGCTACACAAAGATTTGAATAAGTATTCTCATTACTCACATACCAAAATTGAAGTGGAATCTATATAATTAGCAGCAAATTACAATGTTCGCACTTCAGCAATGACTCTCAGACTCATGAAGGTTTGTATGTGTGTGTGTGGGGAGGGGGCGGTGGGGAAGAAATATCTTTATCTTTTAAATCTGTGAAAAATAAATTCTAAAAATGAATTTGGGTTTCCTTTGGTGGTAGTAAATTTCTCATCATTAAGAAAACTCAAGCATATTCTGAATTCATTCATTCATTCATTCATTCATTTATTCATGAAGTAAATTCATTCATTTATTTATTTAACCTTAAGGTTATTAGAATAAACTGAGTTTATTATTATTAGTGTAGGGCCATTCGGTTTGTACTGGTCTGTGATATGTAGAATGTAGACATGCTTTATGGTTAGGATCGAATGGAATAACTTGTCAAATGGCCCCACTAAAATACAGCCTAATACTGATAATACTATAGCAGTTTGGTTTCCAAAAGGACCCCCATGCTGAACTTCTCATACATCTGGGGCAGATACAAAGGATATAGGTTTTAGACCTCCCCTTGCTCTTGAGAACATCTCCTCAGTGGGATCCTAAGAAGTAAACCCAGAGAAAGACTATGTAACACTATGTCAGATTTGGGAGAAGAGCTAATGGCCATTAATATAGCAATAATGACTCAAAAATATTAAAAAGTAATAATAAACATTTTTTCTTTAGCATTAGTGCAAAATGTACCATTATCACTTTCAGAAAAACATAGAGGCAAAATTATGATCAAGCGAAAACTATTTCACAATGATAGAATCCAGAATAGTGGTCCATCTTAGGAAAGGGAGGATGCATGGCTATTGGCTAGAAAGAGAACTTAATAGAATCTAGAAATGTCTATATCTTGATCTTGGTGGTGGTCACGAGTGTGTCCTTATTTTAAAAATCATGGAGCCTAGGTTTTGTGCTCTTTATGTCCTTCACTGCACATATTATCTCTCAATTAAAAACCATGTGTAGGGATCAATTTCTAACAATAGCTGGTATAAGATTATTATTTTCTCTCTCACTGTAAACTTAATTGTTAAAGGGACTCACAGATTACCCCAATTTTATCCTGTAAATTATGTTTGCTGTAACAAAATGCTGTAGGTTATGGAGGATTTGGCAAGTCACTGTACATTCCCACCCAGGCCTGGAGGGCCTTAGACTTCACAGCAGGTCCAGAGGCATTAATGCACTTGAGGCTCAGAGGATATTATGTCCAAAGTCTTTATTTAGGAGTAGAGTATGGGTGAGTCTCTGCCTGAGACTGTTGAGAGACATCAGTATTCTGTGCTCACCTGCTGCTTCTTCTGGGATTTTAGTTCACATTGAAGCAACCTTGGAGACAGCTCTTGCTCAGTTCAGATCACCCTGTTTGAGAGCAACTTGCTCTTAAATTGTGTTAATTTCTACTGAGTCAGGGGGTTCCAGATCACACAAATGTCTCTTCAGTTCTAATGGCACCCGGCATTTAGACTGTCTTTTGGTTTAGTAGTGCTGATTGATCTGCCTATGAAATGTGTGAAATGTACACTTAGTCTGCGTTCCCTGGGAAAATGGGAATTGCCAATATAGTTACTGGGCAAGAAAACATTATGTTATAAATTATGTCTTTATATACAGTTGAAGAAAACTATCCGCAAAAGTGTTTTACTTAGATAATGGTGATAATTTGACTTGTCCTCTTAAACAAGGTATCTAATTCACAAGAAAGCTTCGTTGTCACTTATATTCTCCTAGGTAGTATGAATTCTCTGATAGGTGTTTTATCCACTCCATGTATTAAATATTTTGAGCCGGTTGCAGAAGGAGGGTCAGTTTTTCACCTGAAGTTTTGCTTCTAAATTTAGACTTGGGTCTTTATCATTATGGAACATCACTGCTTCCTGGTAGATTAATCATATTTTGACATAATATTACTTTCCAGTCACAAGTTTCTTCAAAGACTCAGACCACCAGATGAAGAAGGAACTCCTTTGAATTTCTTACTGGCTTTGAATTTCTATCTACTCTTTTAAAAATGTATAACTAGCTTATAAATATTTTATACACTCTGCAACTCTTTACCTTGCAGGCTACAGTATTGCTGTAACTCTTATTTTATAAAGTGACAAAGTATTTTGGACTAAATGTTAGTGTCAGTCTTAAATGAAAGGAAATTTTGTCAAGGTTTTTTGTTTGTCTTCAGACAGAAAAAATGATGACACATATATCAAATTCATGATTTTGCTATTTCACATCTATATTTTACAATTTGTGTGAGCTTTCCCAGTGATTCTGAGGGACCGAGGGACTGGTCTATATTAAAGATTGATAAAAATGGAAAGATTATCTCATTTGTTTCATATTAAACAGTGTCCAAAAGTATGTGTTGATAAAGGAAGAAAGTAAGCATACACATTTGCTTGAATGGATCACTAATTGAGGATACCACAAATTGATGGGCCCTATTATCCTATTTGTAATTAATTTTAAAGGTTTTCACCAATTATACTAATCATCATTCTTCATGCTAAAACTTCTAATTAGAGCCTAGGCTTTAATGGTTCATTCTGACAGTGAAAGGAGAGCACATTATAATTTTATTTTTTATACAGTCTCACAAGTGTTTTTAGTGAGATTGCAGCTTACTTTAAGAACAACTATATCTCTTGTCTTTTGAGAATTTCTTTAAAGTAAGATAACAGTTATGATATTTTTGCAGTTTTAGGAATTTGAGAAAAAACTCATCAGTCCTACTCCCAAAGTCTGCTAAGTGATCTGCATGCTTAAAGTAGATATTTTCTGTTTGTTTTCTATCTTTAATTTACCATAAGGAAATTTCAAGATATTTTTGCTTTATAATTCAGAAATACTTATTTCTAGCCAATCAAATTTGAGAATCAATAATAACACCTGTCAGATTCTTTATAATCAATGGTTATATCACATAATTTGAATAACAAATGGGAAATTAAAACTTAGAGAGTGTAACTGGAATGTTTGTAACTCAAAGGATAAATGGGATGGATTTATGGGATGGATATCCCATTGCCCTTTATGTCCTATTTCACATTGCCTGCTTGTATCAAAACATCTCATGTATCCCATAGGTATATATACCTACTATGTACACACATACATTTTTAAAATTTTAATTTTTAAAAAATTATTAAATTGCACTTTAACACTTTCTGACTTACGTGTGAAAAGTTTTCTTCAAATCCTTTTAAACTTAAAATACCACCCTGTCCTTGTGTTTAACATTAAAGATTCCCATTCTAAACTTTGCTATGCAGCTTTTCTTATTAGTTCACTATGTTTGTGTTCATGATAACTAAAACATCGTTTACATCTGAACTTTTACAGTCTGTCACATAGAGTGTTTTTAAATTTAACTCAACATGCTCCTGGGAGTTAGAATTTTAAAATCACAATGTTCAAAAGTGACAAATGACAGCTTTTAAGATACCAGTCTAACTGGTTGTAACACATCCACAATTGTTCATTTTTAGTCATAATATAAGAAAAAAATTATTAGTTGGTTATATTTACTCTTACCTTTAGAGGCCATGAAGATGTCTGAGTCACTTCCTCAAAGGCTGCCAGGTTGGAAAACAAAGGCTTTTCTTGTTGCATCAAGGAGAGAAAACGCAGCAGGCATAAAACTTCAGAAGGTGTTTGTCTACCTCTTGTCAGCTTACATATAACAGAGGAAGGGAGTCCCTTGCTGTTTCTAGACTTCCGGATTTTATCAGTTTGGACAACAGAGTGAGATGAAACTGTCACAAAAGTATACACTGTTCGGAAACCATCATATAACTTTGGTGGCTGAAGGAACAATTTAAAAATAATGAAAATCAGAAAGGAAAACACACAACACTCATTTTAAGTGTATTTTTTTTTTACCAAGTTGTTTTTGTATTTCTTAGAATATACATGCTTTCACTCAGTCTTATATCAGAAATATCCTGTATTTCTTAATTTCTAGAAGTCTCCATTCCAGATTCTGTGATAAAACCTCCTATTGTGTAAATTTTTGACAGTTCTAAATACAATTCTTTACATGTTGAAAATGTTTGAACATTATTATTCTTATTTTTCTTTTGGCTTTATCTCCATCCCTTCAACTCAAAACAAACAAGAAGAGGATATATTCCCTACAAGTATAAAAATACTTCTTTATTTTCATTTTTTAATTGAATTTGATTAATCAGAGGCATTGGAATATACAAACCTTCAATAGCCTTGCAAAGCGAATCAAAATTTAGATGATATTTAACTGCATTGAATTCTAAGGAAAGAAAACAAATGCTGTAACCTTGACTAGACAGCTCGTATTTCTGAATGCAGCTGCCCAGGTAACCATGCAGATTTTGCTCACCAAGTCAATTGCCCTAGATGGTATGATTCACAAAGGTTGAACATGCAGGATATATTGCGTTCTCAGCAATAGTGTCTATTTCTAAAAATAGTTAAGAGACTTCAGAGACTTAAAATGGGTGTTGTGAGACTTCAGAAGGTATACCTGGTGATGAAAAATTATAAAGTGAATCTCACAGTTTGCAGACTGCCAAAAGTTTGAATTTTCCTTATTTGACAAAGAGGAGTGGTTTTGTTGTTGTTGTTCTCTTAGTGTTTGGAGTTGAAAAAAGCTACCATTATTTAAGTTGTCGTTTGGCAGAAAAGATGTGTAAATATGATTAGTATTTTTAAATTAAACTGTATGTTTCCTAAGTTTTTTTAATGTTTGTCATGAGCATTTGGAAAAACGTTAATGCAAAAAATTAAGTTATTAACACTATCAAATAAGATGTTTTGAAATGTGATCATAATTCACCAGTTAACTTTGACTGCTCTACACAGCACAAATTTTGGAATAAAGTACTCAGTGTTCTTCTCCAAACACCTGTTGCCTTCCCAGAAGAACCAGGGCAACCATTTTTTACTCAAGATGGTCACACCATCCTTTTGGCTCTGTGCCATGAAGCCCTTGACCTTTTCTAGAAGCATCAGTTTCACTTTGCCACCAGCCTGCAGTTTTTCTGGCCCCCTCACTTGATTGCAACCCAAGGTGGCATGTCTAACAGACAGTACTCAAGGTTTGAGATCACATCGACGGCATTGCTGTAAGAAACAGGAAACTTGAACATGAATATCAGAAACCATAGGGTCAATGGGCTTTGCCTCTCGCTAGGAAACTCCCTATTGGCCACCGCTGTCTCCTGAGCCACTGGCCTGCTGCTCTGCTGTATGGGCTTGCTCATTTACTCAGGATGATCTGCCTTTCTGGTCCTGTCCCTCCTGAAACAAGAGGAGCCTCTGATATCCCCCCTTCTCTTCAGTTCCAGCCAAAAGGAAATGGAAACAAACTGCACCATAATTCTTGTACAATTACCTTCTGCCCATAGACTATTTTCAGGACATATCACAGCTGTTTCTAAACAGCTGTCCATTCAATATTCCAGTGATGTTCATAACTTTACTCTTTATTTAGTGGTTAGTATTTGACTTACATTTTAATGTCTGAAAGACGCATCAAAATGCTTTCTCTCAGCACAAGGTGAGAGAAATGTCAATTAAATCTATATAGTGACAGAAAAGAAATGTTGCCTGTTATGAATCAAAACAAAGACTAATATTCTCTAGAATGGAAAATGGAGAAACATATAATCTTACAGGTCTGGGGCAAAACCAAGGGCAGGGATGAACTGGCTTTAAAAATACTTTACTGGACTTATGGTTACTATGCCTCTGACTTTACTACAAAATGTATGTATCTTAAAAATTATATACATACATCTACAAACACATACATACATATATATGCAAATATATGGAATGAGAGAGAATTATTTGTTTTTTGAGTTATGTAAATATTATTTTAGGTATAATTCTAAAACAAATTTTATTCACTTAAGATTATATTTTTTAAAAATTCACATTAATACATAAAATTACATTTATTTTAAACCACTGCATGTTATTTCATTTTATAAATATAATGAACATAATTTTTGTCCATTGCCTTTTTAATGGACATTTAAATTGTTTTCATTATGTAAAACAATTATTCTTATGCACATTTGTAGCAGTCTGTTGAAGGCATATATTCAGAAATAAAATTTCTGGTTTACGGGATAGGAAGAGCTTCACTTTTACCAGATAGCACTGAATTGATCTTAAAGTACTTGTGCCAGTTTACATTCCTAACATTAGTGGGTAAGAGTTCCTACTGCCACATGTCAGTTCCAATACTGGCTTGGTCAGTGTAGTAGAGGATTAAGTAGGGGTCTTTCATTTATGAGAAAGCAGCATTCAGAGGTCTTGATTACATTATAATCTGGGTAACATAAACACTTTGTGTTTTTTTCATCTTTTCTTATACTGCATCATAGAAGAATAATAGCACATTTTATGAATAATTTGTTATAAAAGTGACTGTAGAGGTGGGGAATGGTATGTAAACGAACTATACTTCAGTGATAAATAGCTCCTTTCATTCAGTGATGCTACTGGCATGATCTGCTAAAATATGAATCCACATAAGAATTCAACCAGGCAGCACCTAAGGCATGCATTTCTATGCTTAAGTCTTATCGTTCCTGTATTTCTAATTTTCTGTAGTAAAATTCTTTGTGGAGCAAGACAGAGTATGTGTAAATAAAAAATAATAGAAATAAAACAAATATGGTAGTAAATATTATAAATAGTTTTTCCACAGTCATGTGATTTATAACTACCATATTAAATATGAAACACCAGTTTCTTAATGTAAATTGGATATTTCTGTTCTGGGAATGTGCTTTTCTATTAGCCAGTTATTCACCCTTTGTAAACCTCCTATCAATGTGCATTTTTTAGTATCTGATTTAAACCTGCCCTTTTCATTCAGTGCCTTATTCATTTATTCATTCAGCAAACATTTACTAACTTTTTACCATGTACATGATATTGGGGAGCATACTGATGTTTAATGATGTGAACTCCACTCTGGGGAATATATACTCTAATGAAGTATCATAATACAAGGATGCAATATTGCAATATTTTTTATTTTTTTAAACTGTAAGTTAGTTACTACCTACAGAAAATAAAATGATATAACTCATCCTCCCTAAAAAGCAAATGAAATTAGAATGAGTAATGTATCATTCAAATGAGAAATTCATTGTTTCATACATATGCGTCAGATGTTCCCTTAATCTGTTACTTTAAAACAGGAAAGTGATAACTATTAAGATATTTTTTCTTACATAATGAGGATAATAAACTGTATTACCCTTCTTAGCTTCTGATGAGAGATAATTTTTTAATTCTCTCTTTTTCTGCCTACCTAAAATTATATTGGCTCAATATCCATTCTTTAGAATAAAAGAAAAAGAATCATGGATACATGGTAGAATCTGTCTGAAACTAAGAAAAAGATAATTCTGGAGCAGATATATCTAGGTCTCCATGTACCAAGGTGACATGGAAAAAACTTCTAATTTGGAGTCCAGTGCACAGACACAACATGGGACAAATGATATTTCATTATCAGTAGATTATAAAGTCCAAGGCAGAAGCAAAAGTTTCATCTATAGAAGTCTTTTTTAAATGTTCAACCTTATATATTTTCTTGGAGCAAGACTAGTGCCTTTTTCTTCCGGTATTTGCATGATTTGTTACCCACAATATGAACTTTTAATAGTTCATAATGGTACTTTCCTCTAAAGAGTCTAGAAAGAAGAGCAAATATTCTGAGAGGTTCTTGCATGTAAACATTCTAGGCTATGTTACAGGAAAACGAGATGGAAATTGCAAGCAGAAAACTGCCCTCTACAGAGTCGTGAAATAGCAGCGACTATTTTTCTAGATATTCTTCAGAGTATATGTTTATGTATGTGTCTGAGAGAGAGAGATGAAGGGGACGGAGGAAGGAGGGAAGAGAATTTGGAGCTACTAAGTAGATGAAGGGAAGAATTAAGAAGACATTAACAATTTTCAGAAACCCCAATTCTTCCCACCAATAATTGCTTTACTGTTTTTAGAATCTCTTTATTTTACCGTTATTTAAATTATATTTACCTTTGCCTTCGTTCTTGTGTTTTGCTCAATGTAGTCACTTTGTCTTCCCAACATCTGTCTGCATCTTCAGATATCACCGAAATCCTGCAATGTGCCCTTTGGTAGCTGCAGCCGACAGCCCAGCAGTGCTCTGCATACAACTGCCTTCATTGACAGCAGCCATATCATGCACAGCCAGTGGAGCTGCAATTCAGTGCCAGCAAGTGTGTATAAACTGTTTCTGCAGCACATTTTCTTTGCATTTCCAGCAATGAAAATAAGTTTCTCTGAGGTTGGATCCCCCAAGAGCAAAGTTTTCAAGAAATTGAGATAATTATTATATTAAATATACATTAAATATATAGGCAAAACACATTAGAGTTAATTTATGCTTAATAGTTCATGTTTAGTGTTTACTTCTGGTGCTATTTATAGGCTAAATCACTGAGAAAATGTTACTGCATTTGAAGGCATGCTTTGCTAAGCAGTGGCTAAAAGTGTGGGATGTGTCCTATATACCATGTAGAATCTTGTTTCCCTGAATGAAAGGTTAAAGTTTGGTGGGAAAAGGTCTGTTTGTGCTGTTTGTGAATTTTT